TATGTCGTGCTACCAACTAATACAGCAATAAAAGAAGTTTGTCACAGCAGACACTAAATCACCCAGTCTTCAGAAAAATCTGGATTTCGTTAACGCAGGTACATGCCTGCCTTCGCTTCTGAAACAGCATCTCAATTTCAACAGCACAGATAACATGGAGCAATTTCTTCTCAATTTGCAGAGAACTCTAAATTGTCATGGGTTTTCTGCAAATTATGAGATTCAATGCCCTTTCTGATGCACCTGAACAAAATACCTGGTATTTAGCAACAAATAACCAGAATAGGCAAAAACATGTACATCCGAAACCTGTTGGTACCACTTCTTATCAAATGAAAGCAATCATCTGCAACAGTAAACAATGGGAAATATTAAATATAAATAGTAATTTATCATTCCACTGTTATAAGAGATAAAAAAATTATCCTAAATTGTTTTGTTATTTATGTGTTCACACTCACTTATACACATAATGACAGCAGGCCCTCCAAGATAATTTGGTTTGGTGGGCTAAATAGGTAGAGCCTCATCAAGAGTGCAGGACTTAAGGGCAGCACTTGGTTTACTCAACAGACTCTTTAAACTTTAGTTAGTAGTAGTAGTAGTACTACAGCAAATTCATATTTATTCTGTTTCCAATCTGGATAATGCTACAATATTCCTTTTCCATGAAAGCTTTACAAAAATTCTCATTGTAAGATTGTTTTGAAATTTCTGAGCTCTGCATAATACTTCCCACTTGAGCTAATTGTTTTTCAAGGGAAATTTAATTTTTAAAAGTATGTTTTTCTAACTAATGGGAACCTGTGCTAAAGTAAACAATGAGTCCAGCTTGATAGGAATTTTTGCTCTATCTTTACCAGGAAAGACATGCTGAAACACATGCAGTAGCAGAATTGTTCAATTTTAAAAAACAATTAGAAGACAATTTTCTACTCCAGTTCTCCTATTTGAAGCAGATAATCCTGCCCTGCCTCATTTAATATTAATTGGGTATGTTCTTGTCTCTAGAAGAAAATACAAGTGCAGTTCCCTAATCCACTCACATTCTTGTTTCAAATGCATTTCCGATTAGCCAGTCTGTCAATAAACTATTGTCCTCACACATTCCCTCTGTATAGAAAAATGAAAGATGTTTAAAAGAAACTAAAGTCTTTTCAGGATTGTCACCAGCTTTGAGCAAAACACAATACACTCAACTTACCTGCCAAGGCAAAGTCAAGAAATGTGAAACAGGCACGAAAACCCAAAGCTTCCACCTCTCCTTGAGGGATATTAATGAATAACTTCATGGTTTCAATAATGTCTTATCTTCCCAGATGGGAACTAGAGAGGTCATCCCTATCCAGCAAAAATGAATCACTTATTTATTCTTTCCTTGTCTGCTGCACATACATATGTATCACAAGTCTTCCTTGCAACCCAGGACTTTAAAACTCATTGTCCTCAACATCCAATCCCAACTGGCTCAAGACAAAGAATGAAAGAAAAAAAGCAGGGCAGAGACACAAAAGGGACAATGCAGAATGATACTAAAGACACAGAAGTTCAGTCACGACACCTACATTTAAACTATTGAAAATTAAATTTTGGCTGAAGACAGCCATAGGGTTATTCTTCACCCCCCCCAAAAAGTACCACTCGAGAAATATTAAATTGGATTTTATTTCTTTGTTTTTACTATCACTGCCCCTCAAGCTGTGCAAGGACAGATCTCACTGGCAAAAAAAAATTAGAAAGGGTGCTACATCTGAGTTTGGTAGGTGTTTATAAAATAAACATTATTCCTCCCATGGGGGAGAAAGTCAGAGTTGTTCCCAGGCAAGCTGCTGTCTGACAAACAAAGTTTTTAAGTATCAAAATTTCCTACTGGGGCTTTAATATTTACAGTAACAAAACAAAACAAAATAATAATAAAAAAAGCCACAGATCTGTATTCACTTTCTTCAAAAAAGAAGGAAAGCCTGGACATGATGCAAGTGGAACTGTAGTGGTGAAACTGTACTATATTTAACCAATTCTTTGAGAAATAAAAACATGAAACAAGCAATGGAAACAACATATTAATCGCATAAAGCCCCAACACCTACAGTTATGGGACTCTCCACAAGCTAATACCTTTCCATTTCTTAACTGAGTGCACGTACCAAATCAGAATACTATATAATATTATTATTATTATTATTTTATTAACATGGACTTATTTTAGTTGAAACAGTCGCTTGTGATAATGTCAGAAAATGCACTTGTAGACATTATTTTTTCTCCCTAAATTCTGCTAAAATAAGATGGCCTAACAGTTGTTCCACAGCATTCATGCATAGTGCTTCTGCTACTGAAAACTATCTTGTCAGCACAAAACATGTAGCTGCCTAAATAAACAACAAAACTACTTATCTCTCACTAAAAAAAAAAATGTAGATAGGGTCTCATTATTCAGACTTATAGATGTGGGCACATACTGTGTCTACTCGTGGAATAAACTACAGATGAATAATCCATACACAAACTAATGCTAACTCCCATATTGCAGCCCAGGGACTGACAAGTAAGAGCTTGTGGGGAGAAGATTTTAATTCAAATATGTGTCTCAAGTGACAATAAAAAGGATATAAAGTGCCTGGAATCAACAAATAACCTATCCACTGTACTCAGGGACATAATTTGCCAGATCTGGATTTAGCTGTCATTACAACTTTTGCTTTCAAATGCAAAACAAAGTGATGTTATTTTCCTGCTCAATTTTATTCATGTTATATAGAATGCAGTAAAACTCGTCATGCCAGAGGATTTGCAAAGGGATGATGTGAAGATTAATTACTGGCTGCTCATAAAGCACCCTGCCTGTGGAAAGCCCCATGTGTAAAAATGACCTCGTTATCAAAGCTGTTGAGTGCTCCCAACGCTCACTTTCAATGGACAGAATGGATATTTTCCTACAGCTCTTGAAAACCAAATTAGTCGCATTCAAATATCTACCTCCAGTTTGAGGTGGTTTTGGCATTGTGCCTATACCACATTTCCATAGGGGGTGGGAGTTAAACTACCACGGATTTTGCTTAAATCAAATCTTCCCAGCTTAAAAAACAAAGAATAAAACATAGATATCATAGAACCTGTAAGATACCTCCTAAACCTACCCATAGAGTCAGGCAACAAGTGAATGTAGATCTTATCCCTGTGCCCTAATTGCTCCCTGGAAACCAAAGACACTACTTGAAATAATAAAGCACAGATATTTCTGTGAACAACGGTATTTACTTGGTGAGTTAGCACTGGAAAAAAATGATAAGGCGCAAGACCAAGCACGAAGAGCACTGCTCAACAAAATGGAGCCTGCAATGGTACGCACAACATTTTAGTGTCTTCTCGCTATTTATATGCAGAAAATAATTAGGAATGAGAACACCTCAACAGTAATTAAAGCACAACCCCACAGGACTTCGGAAACCTTTTCAGGGATGGTCTCTTTGGTGACAGCTCTGCCAGCAAGCAGAGTTTGACGTCTCCTGCACAAATACAACTTCATGCCTGGTATTGCCACACTGCAGAGATCTGAAGCACAATCATGCCTCTCTCTGCTGGTATCCTTCTCTGCTCAGAAATAGTCAGCTATGGATACTGCCAGGAAAATGCCTCATCTCCACTGATATTCAACTCCCCCTCCACACTGACGGTATCTTAACAAAATGAAGAGCTGCAAAAACTCCTTGAGCTCGTGTGTCTTTGGGGGGTTTTCTCCAGCAATGCTCTATCAAGTCTTCCTTCTCCCTTTAGACAGTAGCTCTATCAAAGAAAGAAAAATATTCCCTTGGAAACATCCTCGAGAGCCCCGTGGAAACCGTGAGATGTCATTGTGGCACAAAAAAGAGCTCTGTGAGAACAGGCAGCTGGCCTACCTGAAGGTTAAAGGAGCTCCCACTGAAAAGCTGCTCAGAATACTTCACACCAGAGCATGATGCAGGAGGGACATTTACACACATTATGTCTGTGTACCAAAGTGTGACAAAATCCAACCTCCAAGCAGAGCACAGGCTGGATGAAACCCACTGAAATACACCATTAACAGAAATCCACACAAAAGCCAATCCACTCTCTCGATTCACAGTGTCCTATAGGAAGGCCAGAACGAAGCCATTGAGAAAAATGAGACATTTACATATAAATCCAAAAAAGACACGATCCAAGTACTGAATGATTAAAGATCAGTGTAAAACATGTTTTGTGAGCTGCGTTAATCGCCAAAATAGGGGTGTAATCACATCACATGCTACATAAATGTTCAAATAATAATGGCCATGAAATTTTAAATTGTACACGAACATAAAAATCATATTTTTCAAGATTGTATCCGTCTACTGTACGTTTTCTGTAACGTTGATATCACCACCTCGCATTTTTCTCTTGCATCATTTTCCAGCCAGAAGAAAACCCTGAAGGAATCTCCATATTTTCCAATCACATCGCCTGTGCCTGGGCAGGGTATGTGACCGCCAAACCAGAGCCCCCAGAGCAGGCCTGAACCACAGCAAAGACCGCGCACAGCCTTCGCTCTCGAATTCAAAGCATCCTCCACCTCCCTCACCTCCAACTTGCCCGAGGTGCCAGCAGGTATCTGCCGACTTTGGTTTCGGACAGAAACGGCTCGATGTGGCGACTGCATATCTGTCATGTTGGGAAAGGAGGAATTTTTTTAAAAAAATGGGACGGAAAAAAAATCAGTAATAACAATAATAGTCTTTCTCCAAAAAAAAAAAAAAAATCGAAACCGCAAAATTAAATATCCATAGGGTCACAAAGGAAAAACAAAAAATTCCTTTCAGGGTTTTCCGCCGGCATCCCGGGACCCACTCGAGCCGACCCTCCACTGACACCCCGAGGGGGGTCCCCCCAGGTGGGGCAGCGCGGGGGCCCCAAAGGCGCGGGCATCCCCCCGCACCCCGCGGATGCCCCGCGGCGGAGCCGATGCCGGTGCCGGGCGGACCCGGGCGGGCTCTTACCGTGGCCGAGGCGACGCTGTTGTCCGCCAGGGTCAAGTGGTGCGGCTCCCACCGCCGCAGGAACTTGGAGGTGAGGATCTTGCTGAGAAACGTCCGGGGGTGCCGGATGACACACACCTGGATGTCCCCCTCCTGCAGCAGCTTGTACCTCATGCCGTTGCAGTGGAGCAGGGCTCTCCGGCACGGCGCGGCACCCATTTTATTCCCCTCGGGAGCGGACATCTCGCCCAGCAGCGGCTTGCTCTCCTCGGGCTGCCTGCGGTCGCTGCCCCCGCCGGAGCCGCCGGTGCGATCCATGGCAGCCCCGCGGGCCGGGTCGGGGGTGGCGCTCGGCCGCCCGCGGGGACCGGTCTCTACGGCCGGTAGAGACGGATACGACCAAACCAAATAAAAACACAAACAATAATAATAATAATAAAAAAAAATCCAACCCCGCGCGGCGGATTAAAAGAAAAAAATGCTGGGGGAAAAAAAAAAAAAAAAAAAAACCTGTAGGGGAAGATGGGGGGCAGGGACCGAGCCGCACCGAGGGGGAGAACAGGGAAAGGGAAGCGATAAAATCCTTATTCAAACTTCCCAATCCGCCCCCGGCGGGTCACAGCGCCGCGTCCATGCTGCCGCCGGCCGGGCGCAGGGTGGGCTCCCGCGGGGGCGGCGGACAAAAGCCGGCGGTGGTGGCGGTGCGGGGGGCTGCTCCTGGCGGCGGCGGCGGCGGCGGGGGTTGCGGGGCGTCCGGCCGCGGCTCCTTCCTTCCCCCCGGGGCGTGTGCGCGGGAGCGTGCGGCGGCGCGCGTGCATGTATGTGGGTGCGGGTGCGCGCCCGTGGGTGCGGGAGCGTGTGTGTGCGTGTGTGTGTGTGTGTGTGTGTGTGTATGTGTGTGTGTATGTATGTAAGTGTGTGTGTGTGTGTGTGCGTGTCTCCGTGTGTGTGTCGCCGTGCGCGGCTCCCCACGCGCCGCCGCCGCGGCAGGAGGAGGGGGCGGGGGCGGCGGGAGCGGCGGGCGCTGCCGACACGGCCCCTTCTCGCCGGAGCGGCTCCGGCCGCCGCCGATTGGCTCCGCCGCGGTCACGTGCCGCCCTCCCTGACGTCAATGGCCGCTCGGGGCAGCGCCGGCCGCGGGAGGCGCGCGGGGAGACCCGCGCGCGCGGCCGCCGCGCCCCTCACGGAGGGGCGGAATGAACGGGGTTGGAAAAGACCTCTGAGGGCCATCGAGTCCAAGCCGCGACCCAGCACCACCGCCGCGTCAGACAGACCAGAGCGCTGAGTGCCACGTCCAGTCGTTCCTTGAGCGCTCTCGAGGGTGGTGACTCCACCACCTCCCTGGGCAGCCCGTTCCAATGTCTAATCCCCCTGTATGTGAAGAAATTCCTCCTGCTGTCCAACCTGAACCTCCCCTGGCACAGCTTGGGGATATGTCCACTCATCTGGGCGCTGGTTGCCTGAGAGAAGAGCCTGACCCCTTCCCCCGGCTCCACCCTCCTGTCAGGGAGCTGGAGAGTGACAAGGTCCCCCCGAGCCTCCTTTCCTCCAGGCTGAGCCCCCCCAGCTCCCTCAGCCGCTCCTCACTGGACTTGTGCTCCAGACCTTTCACCAGCTTCCTTGCCCTTTTCTGGACCCACTGCAGCACCTCAATGTCCTTCCAGAATTTAGAGGCCCAGAACTGGACACAGCATTCAAGGTGTGCCCTCACCAGTACCAGAGTACAGGGGAACAATTGCTTAAAATCTTTCTTCTTCCCCTCAGGCAGGTTGTGTTTTGAGCATCCTCAGTCTGCATTAAGTTCTTGTACAGCCACTGCGAGGAACTGCCAGGGAAGCCCGTGCCTGGCTGGTGGCACTTCACCAGTGGATCCCACTGTTGTTCCATTTCCTCTGGCTTTATGAGGGGACTGGGAATGGCTGCGTTCCCCAACACACCAGCCCTTAGAAGCCCAGGAAGAGCAGCACCTCCTCAGACTGTGCTGAGAAGGATGTGGAATGTCCTCCGATTGTCCACAAAGTAGAACAATTGTTTATCAAAAAAAACAAACAAAAAAACAAAAAAAAAAAAAAGGGAATGAAAAATGACCTCCCTTCTAAGCCCTCTAAAATGCTTAATGGCTCAGGGATGCTGTGTGCGATATGGATGTCATGCCCAGAAAAGCGGTACCATCGATACTTTTTTGTCAGCAGTTTAAATTTTCAGTCGGAGAATTTGGATCTCATTTCCAATTTCCTCATCTGCACAACAAGGTTAGGACAAACAAACAAACAAAAAAACATTTTCTATAATACGTGCACATGCTGTTAAACTGTGGGGCTCATTGCAATGGGTATTACCAAGGTCCAGAATTCAGAAGAAGTTTAAAGGGTTGTTTTACTTGGTGCTTGCAAAATATTCAGAGAAAGTATAAACCATCATACTTAAAAATTTAAGCTTGCCTCTAATTGAAGGAGTTTGGGAAAGGGATGACCTGTTCTGTGATGAGATGACTATTCTACAGTGTGTGCCCGTGACTTGGTTTCTGGTGGCATCTTCTACTGCAATAGTTCTCAGATAGGTCACCATGCCAAGAGAGGTGCCAGCAGTTGTGAGCAGCATCACCAGCCTGCCCAAGAGAAAGCTCTTTCATCTGATCTGTTCGCATCATGAGTCACACAGATTATCTGTTGGAGAGGCGAGCTTCTACTGGAAAGGTTTGGGAGCCTTTGCCATAAAACCTTTTGTAGTGGCTGCTGTCAAAGACAATACATGACCAGCTGGACCACAATTACAGTGAGCATGTCCATCACGTGTGTCATTACAGAGCTGTTGTGTTGAAATAGGCTTGCATTTGACAGGAGTATTGCTGCCTAAACACTTTCAGAAGGGACGATTTTTTAGCCTATCAATTGCTAGCAAATTCAGGAGATACTTTTGTTGCATATCAGCCTCAAAATTATTTATAAAAAGCAAGGAAGTCTCCAGAATACTCCCAAGTACCAGTTGATAGAACGACGCAGAATTATATGACTTGGCAAAGGTCAGAAGAAAGCCACTCGTTTAATGACCTGAATAATACAACCAACAGGAAGACAAAAATCTCTTTTATAGAGGTTCAGATTGTCAGTATCTCGTAGCCCTGGTAATCACTTACCTCCTGAACTTAAACAAACTGACTGGTCATTGTGCACTAAACATTACAGGCGGTTCCCACAGGGCTTTGTACACCACATACTGCGAGGGGTGAGTGACGCAGGCATTTACCCTGAAATACAGCCAGACCTACTCACACCTGTAAATCTCCGTGGAACAGCAATAAAAATAATAACAAAAAAATATTTGCAAACCAAACTGGGAAAGGACAGCTTTGTGTAGATGTAAGCCTTTCACCGCAGGAACTGTCTGTTTCCAGGAGTTCCCAGAGTGTCTGGTACAAGGGAGACCTGTTCTTGTTTGACCCGAGGCACTGTTCTGGTACAAATGATAATCATGTCGATAGTAGGACTACTCGCATACACTCATCTGCACCAACACTTCACCCAGAAATACAGCCAGTGAGACTATTCTAGTCTGTGCAAACCATTCACCTGCCCAAACCACTGCTTTAAATCTACCGTAATTGTCGTCTCGGAGAGCTGCTCACCAACGGGAGGACGTTATGTAAGAGTCTGGTGTTCTTAAGTGAATTTCCTGGCAAATTAGAGCAGAGGTTCTCCACTAGTGTTCCACGGAAGGCAGCAAAAAAAATGAAGGCTGGTCTATAGCAGCTGACCCACGAGTTACCTGAAAGGATCTAAGCCTGGAAATCCACCGTTCCAAAGTGCTGAAATCCACTGACATATTGCAAAAGCCACTCGTGGCAACCCCTGTCAAGGACAGAGGTCCAAATCCTCAGAGGTGCTGTGTGTCTGCAGCTCCCCTGAATCCCTGTTCTCGGCCTGCAGGTGTTCTCAGTGAGGTAAACTCGGCACAGCACGATAAGATCAAGGTATGAAATCTCCCGTTGCCTGCCAGAGCAGGGCAACTGAAAACCCTGTCTAGACAAGTGAAATTGAAACACGCTGGTGCTGCACAGCTTGCTGGAACACACATTAGCCATCCAACCTGCAATAAATAGCTGGTATGTGACCCAAGGCTGAGCACATTAAAACTAACACCCTTCCTCATATCTATTATAGCAATCAAAAGTTGGATCAATTGCAATCCTGGCTTTTTTGTTCTTCCAGACTTCCTCTTCTGGCTCCATGCAGCACAACAGACATCCCAGGTATACACGCCTGGCAGGATTTCAAGGTGGCACTTGGGAATTGCTGTAAGTTTTGTTTTTTTCCCCAAAAATCTAATTTTTATGAGCAAATTCAACCACAAATTTATCATAAGCATGAGTCATAATCATTCATATAAGAAACACTGAGCAAATAATTCATAATAAAGAGCACATACCTCTAGCTATTCACAAGGTGCTTCTGGGCATGCTATCAGTTTTGAATAATTCAAGAATTTACAAGGTTTTCTATGAAATACTTCCTTTCTCTGCTAGAAGAGAAACACAAGCTTTCAAAATGAAAATCAAATGGCTTATTTATTACTGTTGATACTACTACTGAGTAGAAGCTCTTTTAGTTCAGGGTGTCTAGATACAGGTCAAATTTGAAGGAGGAAGGAGATAGCCCAAGAGAGACTTGTTCTACTCTGCAGAAATATCAGTGCAGTTGAACCAAAATGAGAGTGGGGCTGGCAGGGAAGCAGCAGAGGTAAAAGATGCTTTCTCCAAAAGAGAGTTCAGTGGCAGAAGGGCAATTCAGACCCACCTGCCAGTCCTGTACCCAACTCTTGAGCTCTGCTCACTCACTTCCAAGTTCTATCTTACTCCTGAACTCTGCCCTTTCATTTGCACTTCTTTGTATCTTGTTCTCTTTTTATTATTCACCACCATTTCATAATAGGCTTTGTAAACAGAAGCATCACTTCCTGAAAGACACTGTACCCTGGAAACCTGGGTTATACTCACCATGCAGTTTAGGGCACTGACCCAGACTTCTGGGTCAGCAACAGACTTTCTTTTTCCTTTTTTCAAAACCAGTTCTGTTGTGACGTGTATTATTCAGAATATTCATCTCCTCAGTTGTATGTCTGTAAAACCAGGAAAGCCCATTGACATGATCATTCACAAATACCTGGGATTCCAGTCTTAAGAAAAAAAAACACATTTTCTATGCATTCCCAACATTTGGTCTCTTGTCTGACTACTCTCAATTCAATCAGGTGTTCTGCAGAGGTCATTCGTGGGTGCCAAAACAGAAGCACTGTCCCAGCATACCTTCTTCAGCTTAGTAACACCCACCTATAATAATGTGTTAAAACAAAACCAGTGTGATATTCCAAAGGAAAAGAAGATGGCATTTTATGTATAGTGCTCAGTGCCACTAACACCGGTTTCATGATAGTGGGAGCCTTGGAAAACCCTTTAGAAAACACAAAAC